GCTACTGGAAAGGGCCCTTTGGTGCCCTGCCTCACCTCGAGAAGCGTCCCTTTTTCCCTGCCAAGCCTCAAAGTGATTCCTGAAGTGTCCCTCGTTACTAGACAGGAGTCCTGACGTCACTGAAGAAACTCGTGTTTTGAAGGGCCATCCCCGCCGAAAGTCGAGAACATACACCAGGTCCCCGCCGCAACTCGAGAAAAACGATGAGACTTCCCCCTAGAGGCGAGATGAGGCCCCATTCCCCTGCAGTGCATGCAGAGCTATTCCGTGATCCCATTCAAACAAGTCAGGAGCTTCGACCTGCTTAATGGATCTCGAGACAGTCCCCAAGAACACTGTCACCAGTCTAGACGGACCCTGAGGTCACCCCAGCAACGCAAAGCAGCTCCATGTGCCCCAAATCAACTCGAGATGAGGCCCGATTCCCCTGCATTGACTCCAGAGCCATTCCCCGTTCCCCATTCAACACGACCGGTGGCTCGACTTCCTTCAGGCAACTCCAGAGATGCCCCGAGAACACTGTCCCAGGTCTAGAGGAACACCAACTTCAGCACAGCAACTCGAGGAATGCTCCGTGTACCCCAAATCGTCTCGAGATGAGAGCTGATTCCCTGGCTTAGGCTCAAGACGTATGCCAACTTTCCAGAAGCACCTCAGGAGGAGGCTTCTCTCAGCAATAGGTATGTGGGAGGGACCCCGAGTATGCTGCCTCAAGGGGAATATACAGCGAGAAGCCCTAACTAGAAAGGAGGCCGGATTTCCTTGCAGTGGCTTGAATACAGGCTCGTCTTTCATCTCACAACATGCAGGGATGTCTGAATCCCCTGTGGAGACCTTAGAGAAAGCCCTAGGTCCTTGCCTAATTTTGACGGAATGAATCACATCCCGTTGACACCTCGAGAGGCACGCGGAGTTCATTGCTTCAAAAGTTGACGATGCCTGACTCCTCTTGAATACTGACAGGAACCCCAAAATCCCTGTGGCTACTGGAAAGGGGACTTGGGTGCCCTGCCTCACCTCGAGAAGCGTCCCTTTGGCCCTGCAAAGCCTCAAAATGATTCCTGAAGTGTCCCTCGTTACTAGACAGGAGTCCTGACGTCACTGAAGAAACTCGTGTTTTGAAGGGCCATCCCCGCCGAAAGTCGAGAACATACACCAGGTCCCTGCCGCAACTCGAGAAAAACCATGAGACTTCCCCCTAGAGGCGAGATGAGGCCCCATTCCCATGCAGTGCATGCAGAGCTATTCCGTGATCCCATTCAAACAAGTCAGGAGCTTCGACTTGCTTAATGGATCTCGAGACAGTCCCCAAGGACACTGTCACCAGTCTAGACGGACCCTGAGGTCACCCCAGCAACGCAAAGCAGCTCCATGTGCCCCAAATCAACTCGAGATGAGGCCCGATTCCCCTGCATTGACTCCAGAGCCATTCCCCGTTCCCCATTCAACACGACCGGTGGCTCGACTTCCTTCAGGCACCTCCAGAGATGCCCCGAGAACACTGTCCCAAGTCTAGAGGAACACCAACTTCAGCACAGCAACTCGAGCAATGCTCCGTGTACCCCAAATCGTCTCGAGATGAGAGCTGATTCCCTGGCTTAGGCTCAAGACGTATGCCAACTTTCCAGAAGCACCTCAGGAGGAGGCTTCTCTCAGCAATAGGTATGTGGGAGGGACCCAGAGTATGCTGCCTCAAGGGGAATATACAGCGAGAAGCCCTAACTAGAAAGGAGGCCGGATTTCCTTGCAGTGGCTTGAATACAGGCTCGTCTTTCATCTCACAACATGCAGGGATGTCTGAATCCCCTGTGGAGACCTTAGAGAAAGCCCTAGGTCCCTGCCTCATTTTGACGGAATGCCTCACATCCCGCTGACACCTCGAGAGGCACGCGGAGTTCATTGCTTCAAAAGGTGACGATGCCTGACTCCTCTTGAATACTGATAGGAATCCCAAAATCCCTGTGGCTACTGGAAAGGGTCCTTGGGTGCCCTGCCTCACCTCGAGAAGCGTCCCTTTGGCCCTGCCAAGCCTCGAAGAGATTCCTGAGGTGTCCCTCGCTACTAGACAGGAGTCCTGACGTCACTGAAGAAACTCGTGTTTTGAAGGGCCATCCCCGCCGTAAGTCGAGAACATACCCCAGGTCCCCGCCGCAACTCGAGAAAAACCATGAGACTTCCCCCTAGAGGCGAGATGAGGCCCCATTCCCCTTCAGTGCATGCAGAGCTATTCCATGATCCAATTCAAGCAAGTCAGGAGCTTCGACTTGCTTAATGGATCTCGAGACAGTACCCAAGAACACTGTCACCAGTCTAGGCGGACACTGATGTCACCCCATCAATGCAAAGCAGCTCCATGTGCCCGAAATCAACTCGAGATGAGGCCCGATTCCCCTGCATTGACTCCAGAGCCATTCCCCGTTCCGCATTCAACACGACCTGTGGCTCGACTTCCTTCAGGCAACTCCAGAGATGCCCGAGAACACTGTCCCAAGTCTAGAGGAACACCAACTTCAGCACAGCAACTCGGGGAATGCTCAGTGTACCCCAAATCGTCTCGAGATGAAAGCTGATTCCCTGTCTTAGGCTCAAGACGCATGCCAAATTTCCAGAAGCACCACAGGAGGAGGCTTCTCTCAGCAATAGGTATGTGGGAGGGACCCCGAGTTTGCTGCCTCACGGGGAATATACAGCGAGAAGACCTAACTTGAAAGGAGGCAGGATTTCCTTGCAGTGGCTTGAATACAGGCTCGTGTTTCATTTCACAACATGAAGGGATGTCTGAATCCCCTGTGGAGAACTTAGAGAAAGCCCTAGGTCCCTGCCTCATTTTGACGGAATGCCGCACATCCCGTTGACACCTCGAGAGGCACGCGGAGTTCATTGCTTCAAAAGTTGACGATGCCTGACTCCTCTTGAATACTGATAGGAACCCCAAAATCACTGTGGCTACTGGAAAGGGTCCTTGGGTGCCCTGCCTCACCT